AGAGTTCAGCAACATCTCATAATGATTCACAAACACTTATCTCAGAGAACAAAGGAAGGTCAAAGTCTAGAAGCAGTTCATGCATGAGTAGGAGCAAGTCAAGATTAAGAAAAGATATTATTTGCTAACTGTGGTTAGAAAGGACATTACAAGAACCAATGTAAGCAACCTAAGAAAAGCAAGAAAAAAGGAAAAGAAGTGGAGTCTATAGAGTCAAAAGATAATATCACAGCTATAGTGCAGGGTGGTGATTATTTGATTTTGTCTCCTCTGATGATATTTTTTCTTGTGTGTGTCAGGATCTTGAGTGGGTGATTAACACAGGTGCTTCTTATCATGCTACACCACGGAGGGAGTTTTTTGCTACATATAGGTTTGGAAATTTTGGTGTTGTCAAGATTGGCAACTATGGCACAGCAGACATCATAGGCATGGGTGATATCCATTTAAAGACCAACCTTAGCTGCAAGTTAGTGCTTAAGGACGTGAGGCATGTGATTGACTTGAGATTGAATTTAATTTCAGTTGGAAGACTAGATGATGAAGACTATGATAGTAGATTTCACAAAGGGCAATGAAAGCTTAGTAAATGTTCTTTTGTTATAGTTAATGGAAAGCAATGTCATACTTTGTACAGGTTGTAGGCTAAAGCTTCTGGTGAGCAATTAAATGCTACAGAAAAAGACTTCAGCATGGAGTTGTGGCATAGCGATTATGACACATGAGCGAGAAGGGGCTACAAGCTCTTTCCAAGAGAGAGGTATTGCCAGATCTCAGAGGTATACATCTGAACCCTTGTATTGATTGTTTGGCTGGTAAACAACATAGAGTTTCATTTGCTAGTCCTGCTTTGTCTAGAAAAATGCATGCTTTAGACCGTGTTTATACAGATGTATGTGGTCCTTTAAGGACTAAAACTCCTGGTGGAGCTGTTGATGTCCTTGGTATAAGTGGTGCACTTTATTTTATCACTTTTATAGATGATTTTTTCAGAAAAGTTTGGGCTTATGCTTTGAAGATAAAAGATCAGGTTATTAATGTCTTTAAAAAGTTTCATGCTAGGGTTGAAAGGGAGACAGAAAGACAATTAAAATGCATAAGATCATATAATAGTGGTGAGTATATATGATTATTTAATGATTATTATACGATACATGTGATCCAACATGAGATGACAGTTCCTGGTATACCTCAGCATAATACAATTGTAGAGAGGATGAACTACGCAATCATGAAAAAGATTAGATGTATGCTTTCACAGGCCAAGCTACCCAAAAGGTTTTGGGATGAGGCTTTGAGGACTACAGTTGATGTGATCAACTTATCACCATTTACAGCTCTAGATGGTGATGTTGCAGAGCATGTATGGTCAAGGAAAGATATTTCCTACAAGAATTTGAGAGTGTTTGGTTGTCATGCATTTGCACATATTCCAGACAATGAGAGGTCTAAGCTGGATAGTAAGACTAAAGAATGTATTTTTCTTGGCTACTCACATGATCATTTTGGTTACAGGCTTTGGGATCTAGAAAAACAGAATGTGTTTAGAAGCAGAGACGTAGTCTTCTTTGAGGATCAAACTTTTCAAGATTTGAAGAAGAAGGCACTAGCCAATACTTCTGCAGAAGGATTAGCAGATTGTGACTCAATTACTCCTTCAGTATATCAGGGTGATGGGGGAGATGTGCAGGAAGATAATGTAGAGCCTGATGTTAATCTACCTGTAGGACATGTTGAGCAAGAAGAAGTTGGAGAGCAACTTCTCATAGAACCTTAGTTAAGAAGATCTTATAGACAACGTCAACCTTCTAGAAGATACTCTATAGATGAGTATGTGATGCTTACTGATGCAGGTGAACCAGAGAGTTACCAGGAAGCAGTTGAAAGTAAGCAGAAAGAGAAGTGGTTAGTTGCTATGCAGAAAGAGATGAATGCTCTTCAGAAGAACCACACTTATGATTTGGTGCTACTACAAAATGGAATGAAGGCCTTGAAGAACAAGTGGATTTTCAAGTTAAAGACTCAAGAATATTGTTCTCAACCAAAGTACAAAGCTAGATTGGTTGTGAAAGGCTTTAGTCAAAAGAAACGTATTGACTTTGAAGAGATTTTTTCTCCTATTGTTAAAATGTCTTCTATTCGTGTTGCTCTTAGTATTGCTGCTAGCCAGGACTTAGAGGTTGAGCAGTTAGATGTGAAGATAGCTTTCCTTCATGGGGATTTGGAGGAGGAAATTTATATGGAGTAACCAGAAGGCTTCAAAGTCAAAAGTAAAGAGAACTTTGTCTGCAAATTGAAGAAGAGCTTGTATGGGCTAAAGCAAGCTCTAAGACAATGGTACAGAAAGTTTGATTCATTTATGACAGAAAATGAATACAAAAGAACGGCTTTAGATCATTGTGCGTACATCAAATAATTTGGTGAGGATTTTATTATTCTCTTATTTTATGTTGATGACATGCTTATTCTTGGGAAAGATGTGTCTAAAATTGACAGATTGAAGAAGGAGCTGAGTGAGTCTTTTGCAATGAAGGACATGGGGCCAGCAAAGCAAATACTAGGTATGCAGATTTCCCGTGATAGGAAAAATAAGAAGATTTGGTTGTCACAGGAGAAATACATTGAGAAGGTATTGGAAAGATTCAGTATGAGCAATGCAAAACCAGTTGGTTCTCCTCTTGCATGTCACTTCAAGTTGTGCTCAGAGCAAAGTCCGTCAAGTAATGAGGAGAAGGAGAAAATGCAAAAGGTTCCTTATGTTTCAGCAGTTGGAAGTTTAATGTATGCAATGGTATGTACGAGGCCAGACATCGCATATGCAGTTGGTGTTACTAGTAGATTTTTTGCAAATCCAGGCAAAGAGCACTGGGCAGTAGTGAAGTGGATTTTTAGATATCTCAGATGGAGCTCTAAGGTTTGTTTAAGCTTTGGAGGTGGGCCACATGTGTTGACAGGTTACACAGATGCAGATATGGCAAGAGATATAGATATGAGAAAGTCTACTTCAGGTTATGTACTTACTTTTGCAGGGGGAGCTGTGTCATGATAATCCAGGTTACAAAGGTGTATTACTCTCTCCACCACAGAAGTAGAATATATTGTTGCTACAGAGGTATGTAAAGAAATATTATTGGATAAAAGAATTCTTACAAGAATAGGGGCTGAAACAGAAAAATTATGTGATGCATTGTGACAGCCAAAGTGCCATCCATTTGTGTAAGAACCCAATGTTTCATTCTAAGTCAAAGCATATAGATGTCAAATACTATTGGATTTGAAATGTATTTGAAGAGAAGCAGTTGCAACTTCAGAAAATTCACACAGATGACAACAGAGCAGACATGTTGATAAAGACTTTACCAAAAGAAAGACAGGAGATATGTCGACAGCTGGTCGACATGGCTTCATATTGAGGAGTAATGAGACAGCCTCCTTTATGAGCTGAAGGGGGAGGTTGTTGGGCTGACAGCCCATATTCAGCCCAATGTGGGCTTTATCAGCCCACATCTCACCCCCTCTTAACCTAACCCTAATTAACATTAGGGGGGTATGTGATAGCTACCAAAAACTGCATAAATAGGGTAGCAACGAGGGCAACAATGCAGAGATCTTCGTAGTAGAAAAGATGAGAAGAAAAAGGCAGAAAAAAAGAGAAAGAAAGGGAAGAAAACAAGGACAATGCAGAGAGACTATTCTCAATCATCTAGTAGTGTTCTCATCTCAGGTTAGATCAAATCTATAGTAAACTCTTGCTGTGATTACTTAGGGAGGTTTTAGATATTGTGGACAGTGACGTGATCCTTGTATCCCAATTATTCTCTTATGATTATTGCTAAGGTTTAGGGTAAGAGATTGAGATTTGTATATTCATTATTCTCATAGTGAATTATCTCTAGTTTGTCCCGTTGTTTTTACCCTTCACATTGGAAGGGTTTTCCACATATATCTTAGTGTTCTATTTGATTGTGATTTCATTTAATTCCGCTGCATATCATGGCCTACTAGTATTTGTTCATATACAAAAGTTATTTCTCTTTATATCCCATCAATCACTTGTGTAACTGATACAGGTGTCAAGAACTATAACATTCTTTTTTTGCTGTATATTTTGAATGCAGGCTATATGTTACTTGGATGACATTATACAGAAATAACGAAAATGATATCCAAAATTGTATTTACTACGAGGAACATGAAGTTGACGTACGTTAATATGTATCCTTAGACTTCGAGTTGACGGGCACATGACACCTCATCGACGTCCTATAGGCCATAAATGAATCTCATGATATGGATTCTCAGTCAAAATAAATTCATGAGGAACTGATATCCCTTTAATTAAGATATTGATTAATTTTCGCTAAACATATATGTTTGAATTGGTCGGAGCCTGATCAGAGCTGAAGGACAAAGATCCGATTCCTAAAGAATTTACTACCCGTATGTTATATATTATATGATCATGAAAAATTCCAAAAAAAATAAAAGTTTCATGAAAGAAAGAGAAATATATCAAATGTGATATGCGCAACGTATATGGCATCGAAAATTAAAACATCGAAGAGTGAGAAACATAGGCTCAAAAAAAAAAAAAGGTATTCCCAGAGAAAATTGATTGTATTCTCCTTATAATTTGTATATTAATATAATTTGTACATTAAACCATTCTTTCGAATTATCATAAAATAATCATTCCAAAAACGAAGTATACCGACGAGCACTTCACCTGTCCCTACCTGCCACGCTACTGTGTTTTCCAATTACGAGGCAGGTAGACTGGGTAAATGTGTTGGGATGTCTAAGGAAGGTTTTCTCGCATTCAAGCTGCTGACGTGGGTCCCTGGGCTCCACGCCTCTGGTTTCCCGTCAGCCAATGAGACACCATTCACGATTTCCGGCTCAAACAACGGGTTGGGGGTCCCAAGACGTAGACATCGGGTGGGGTCCCAAGACATAGACATCGGTCGTGGTCCTAATGGGCGAGAGGAAATTGGTGCGTGTTTGCATCGGGGCAGCTGAACTCCAATCCCCAGCATTTATTTTGTCCGTGACGGCCACCACCCACACCACCTCGGTTGCGATGGTGGAGGATTTCTGATTCCCGTTCGGCCGCGGTTCTCAAGCTGGGGCTCCATTCGCCGGTCTCCATCAGACCAAAGCGCGAGCTTCCTCGACGACGACAATAAGGCCCACTGCGATCCCCCGAATCGTCAATCTCCCATTGCCCCCTCTCCCTTTGCGGAACTCGGAGGCAAAGGATCGAATCGACCGACGCCCGAGACCTGACCGCGGATGGTGGCGACGATGTCATGAGGGCGGTGAAGGGATGGCGAGGGGCGCGGTAGTGTGGGGGAGGGGCGGCGGCGGTGGCAAGTTCTGCTGCTCCTTCAAGCGGATCACCGTCGTGGTTTGCTGCGTTAATCTCGTCGCGGCCCTCCTCGTGCTCCGAACGTTCTACACCTCATTCTCCCTTGTTTCCTCGAGCGATCCGTTTTCGGGTACAAGGATGGCTCCTGTCTTGCTGTAACCTTGCTATAGTTGGCAAATCTCTTAGTTTTGTGGCTTACTTGCATTTTCATTGCGAATAAATTGAAAATCTTTAAGTCTAATCGCTGCTGCTGTTGTTTTGTGGAATTTATAGTGGATCAACTTGAGAGGATACAAGAGTCGATTAGGGTTCGAAGAGATGCTGAGCCCGTGGAGCTGGTTAGAGCGGTAAGCTCGCAGGTTCAAATTCTCATCAGTCTTATATAAGGATTTGATTGACAAAAAATGTTTTTGTTTTATGGATGTGAACAGGTGAGGAAACTGAGAAAGGAGCTCTTGAAAGACGAGAAGAGGGTTTTGAAGTTGCCGCAACCTGTGAAGCAGAAGCTGGCCAATGAGATTCTGCAGAAGCTGCAAAGCGTTAAAGATAACAATGTGACAGAACAACGAGGTGGGTGGTCCTTTCATATGATTGGATTTGCTGATCGACCATTTTTCTTGTGAATATTTGATTCAAGTTGTCACTAATACATTGGAGTACAGAACTCAATGCTTTGACGAACTCAGAAAAAAAAAGTTCGGAGAAATTGATTGATTTTGCATTTGAAGGCATCTTAGATTTTGCAGGGACTTTGTATTTCAATCTCAGATTTGATTGATGTCTAATCTTATACGTTAGATTTGATTTTGGACTGATCTGATGTGGTTATGAACCACATCAGAGCTTCTATTTTGCAACTCCTTTGGATTTTACCAAGAAACACAGTCCATTCTTTTTTGGTCAAGTTTTGCACTGCATATAGGATCTTCAATTTTTGCAGGCATAGGTGACTCTGAGAGCATAGTTTGCACATTTTCTGGCAGACATTGCTTTTGACCATCTACAGTTTTTACCCGGCATCCAGTATAGGCTATATCTTTAAGCTAGCTTTTCAGCATAGATGGAGGCATTGCTTTGCTGCCGTTGAATCCTTTATCTAGTTATTCATGTTGCTTTGAATTCTGAATCACTATGGTACGTGATCCAGCTCACCATAATTGGGAGCCCAATCACATAATTGTTATTTATTTTCATAGATCACAACCAAAATATAGTCTTTATCAGAATCCCTCTCTGGGATTCATCCCTTAAAAGCTGAAAACACTGAACATACTATATTTATAAAAGAATTCAACAAATTTTGTTCTTGATCCTAATAGATTTCATACTCGATGAATTTGGAAGATTGAAATATCCTTAATCTAATGTACCAAGCAACTGAAGTATACAATGGATACCGCGATCTAGAAAAAATCAAATAATTCTAGACTCATATACTAGAAGCCAAGTTTTAAAATACTGGTCTGGTGTCGATATCAATCACTGGCTGAATTGGTACAGTACAGGTGTGGATTGGCATACCAACATTGATATGGATTGGTATCATCCTAATTAGAGAGAAAGGAGAGAAGAGGGGGGAAGAAGTGAGGAAGAGAACTGGTGGAGCAGAAGAAGGCAACAGTAGAGGAGGTGGCACATCGGTAAGACGAGGCGATGATTTGGGTAAGGAGGAGGCCAAGGAGAGTGAAGAGGCTACCCATGAGAGAAAGAGTGAATGAAAAGCAATGTGTGCACGAGAGAAGAAAAGAGGGAAAAATATAGCTGTGACACTAATTATCAAAATAAGAAAAATAGTAATGGTACCGGACTGTCACAAACTTAGCTGGTTTTGCCTAAGTCGTGTGGTACCCTTGTGTGTCCGTCTACAAAGGACAGCCTCCCCGAAATCTTCTATAGTCTTTTAGGACTTACAAAAGAGAAAACGGGCTAGAGAAAGCATTTCACTCGGGATTCACAAGCAACCATTTCAGCAAACACTTTATAGCCAATGCAAATTACAACCATAGACTTCACAAGCTTTGAACGATCGCACAATAAAAGGTCCAAGATGATCCATTACAGACCGAAATGCCCACAAGTGGCCACATGACACAACCTTCATTTACAATTCTAAATCGGCCACCAAAGCTAACCAAAATGGGACTGCCAAGTCTACGGCTAGCCCTTTACATGTTGTGCAAAACATGAACAAAATTGAAAGACACAGACATACATGAACATTAAATCAAACACCCGTTTATAACTTTGTCCATAACATTCTCCTCTACTTATTTCTTCGATGTCCTCGTTGAACCATTTGTAGATGCTACATCTCATTGCCTTTGCTGAGTCTTCAATCTTCCGCTATAGATGCAATGCGCCTCTTGGCTCCTAGCTGCTCTCCGTCGTTGTTGTTGAGTAGTCGAACTTTGATCCGTCATGCTGTTTCAACTCGCCAATGACTCTGACTCTGGTGTACGGTCGGCTGAGTTGTGTTGATCCCTATTGCTTCTTACGGATCCTTTAGATAAAGGAAAAGACCTTCCTTGTTATGTGCTAGTCTCTCAAATGCCTCATGCCACTTGAATTTGGTGGATGCCTGTTGGAGCCTTAACGAGCATCGCCTCGTAGACTTTAAAGCTTTTGGAGTCTTTCCTCCACAAAATCTGCCTATCGATTCTTTTCTCATTTAGCTGTCACTTCCAACTAGCTTCGCATCATTTCCGCTTTTGATTGACATTTTATTGAGAAATGAAGTGGACAGTCTACTCTTAGTAGCACCAATCATCATTGGTGAGGATTTGACAACTATTATCTTCCATTAGATTTTTTCGATTGGTCTTTGAACCTGTGCAGAGCTCCTCTGCTGGATAAATAGGAGAGCTGGGGTATTTGGTTTCACTCATTCTTTTAAGAGTTGAAAAGACAATGGTTACTTGACTTCGCCTACCTCATCGAGGGTTGTACTTTATGCATCAAGTTGGTTGCTAGCCTTCGCTTGCTCTTTGCTCACACTTTCAAAGCATTCGAAGTGTTTGCACTCTTTACATTGGGTTAGCTACTGTGATTCGCCTTCTCATTACCATCGAACTTTTGGAATGCAAGAAGTTTTGCCTAAAAAGAGTAAAATTTCACCCCGACTTGGGGCAATTCTCTGATAGTTTTGGTCGCCTTGGGGATTGTACCATCTCTTCTATCATCTCTGCTGCCTACTCTGAGTAGCAAAGGTATAACACTGCATATTGCCTACTTCGTTCCTTGATCGAGCACTCTTGCATCGCCCCAAAGTCCTTCACTTTCAACTATCTTGATGAGAAGCTCGTTGACACCGGTCTTACGAAGTTCCCTAGCCTCTACACTTCAGCCTTGTCTTGATACTTGGAGTTTGCCTATGCATTCTCCACCTCCTTGGCTCCTTTCACAACCAACGCTCTCCCTTCATGAGAGCAAAGGATTGATGACTCCACGGAAGTCCCGCCTTTACGGTACCATGGTTCTACTATTCGTCGCTTTGCATTTGCATCTCTTTCTTTGCGATCGGTAGATCTGCCTTTGTGGCACTGTGGCATTCCTCCAAGTCCACCTTCATTCTAATCGGTGCTTAGTTTTGGATAGCTAAGTTCCTTTGGACTCTTCGTCGCTTCCTCGTCCCTTTCGATTGCTTGCTTCAACACCTCTATGTTTTTCGAGCAATTCCCTTAGGTCGATAAAAAGATAGACTACAACTCCCTTACATTGTCTTCGCCATCATGTCGTAGGGCTTGCGTCAATTCTGTTCTCCTTAGCTTCATCGGTAGTAACATTCGCTTGCTCGACCTTGTCCTCTAACTTGTAGGGCTCCCTTAAGCTAATATGAGCTCTGGAGCAGTCCAATTCTCCAACCACTTCGATCATACCTCTACATGATCAAGTCCCCCTATGGGACTCACTAGTACTTACATTCGGAATTCCCTCTCGGTGGTACATAGCCTCCATATGTTGATGACCAAGGCTTTTATCCGATGTAAAATTCGATGCACGCACGGAAGACCTGCCTTTACGGTACCATGACATTCACTCTTTGAGTCCATAACCCTTCTTGCTGTCGTTTTGTTCACTGAAGTAGAGCTCCTAGTAGCTCTCGATCATACCTTCTTATGACCTAGTCCCTCGCGGGACTTGTCTCGTGTGTGTCACATTGCCTCGAATTGTTTCACCACGATCCTTTGCACCATGTCGCCTCCTGGTGACATCTCCATTGTATATTGTTCATTGTGAGGTGAACTCGGACTGTGATCTCTCCATGCGTGGCTTCTGCTAACACATTGCAGGGCCTCTGTCACCTCCGATTATATTCGCTTCCTTGGTAATCGATCTTCGTCCACCAGCTCTCGGGTCACACACGGACGAAGCATAGCTCTAGGGCAGTCCTTCGCCTAGTAGCTCCCAAAGTCCATCGACTTCATTGAAATTGGTGCACCATTGTTTGGATCATATGCCTTTGTCCCCCCTAGCACAATCTCTACTGCACATCGCTTTCTTCGTGGCAACTCGAATGACAGTACTATGGCATATTCTTCAAAAGTACCTGCCTCTATGTCCTCTTGCCACGTAACAAGGCATTTTGACCCTAACTTCGCCTCCGCAAGTTGAGTCGCCTTAGTTTCTCCATTAAATGCTTCTATGAGATAAGGTGCATGTGCCTCGAAGCTCCCTCATCTTTGACATTATGCAGGATGAGTCGCTTCATCAGAAAGAGGGACCCATGGAACGACATGATCTTGCTCTTGCCTCTATAAGTATTTATGTCCTTGACCTCTATCTAAGGAAAGCTTTGTGCCTCCGCTCCATATTCCGTCTTTTATATCGACTCCCTTCATGCGGTTTGGGTACTTCATTAAGTTACACCCAAGTTGCTCCACTTCTCAATTTGTATTGAGTTGATGGTGGCCCTCGTGCCCATCATTTCACAGGTCAGCCCTTCGTTGAGTTCGATCTTCATATCAGCTCCAAGTGTGCCTTTATTTGGTGTTGCCTTGGGTCGCTCCCCCACATGATCTCGCAATGCGTCCACCAATACATTACCTCATATGAGATCATGCGACGACTCCTCGTCGCTCGTTCGGTCCGTTGAGCTTTATAGAGTTATCGTCTTGAGGTACTCCCATCTCAACATGTGTGGTCCGTTACATATGATTCTTCCTCTGGAGAGCCGGGACTTATCCCTCCTGAATATCTGTTCCGTTGGAGCAACTTCTCTCTTCGCATTCTTCCCTCGGGAAGTTTCGGAGACCACTATCCTCTTGGACTACTCCACCTTGCCGAACAAACTATGCATTGTTTTGCCACCGCAAACGCATTTACTAAATTGCGACTCTTCGCCAATGCAGCCTCCCCCTCGCTGCACCCCTTGAGGCCTAGCAACATATTGAACTTGCTGCACACTTCAGCTTCCTACAGGCGTATCCTTCTCATGCCGAAGAGAAAGTTTCAATGCTCCATAGCGCTGAGTTTCGGTTGCCTTAGGATGACTATGAACATTCCATCATCCGCATACAAGCCCCGCTAGGTTCCCCATGTTTGCATGCTAAGTGTTTCTATGTATGCTTGTCACGCTCTGATACCAAAGTCATGAACTTAGTTGGTTTTGCCTAAGTCATGCAACACCCTTGCGTGTCCATCTGCAAAAGTTACCCTCCCTGAAACCTCCTATAGTCCCTTAGGACCTACAAAAGAGAAAATGGGTTAGAGAAAGTGTTTCGCTCAGGATCTACAAGCAACCATTTTAGCAAACACTTTATAACTAATACAAATTACAACCATAGACTTCACAAGCTCTGAACGACCGCACAACAAAGGGTCAAAGATGGTTCACTACATATAAAAAATGCTCACAAGTGCCCACATGACATAACTTTCATTTACAAGCCTAAAGTGGCCACCAATGCTAACCAAAATGGGGTTGTGAAGCTTGTGGCTAGCCCTCTACATGCTGTGCAAAGCATGAACAAAATTGAAAGACATGGACATACATAAGCATTACATTAAACACCCTGTTTATAACTTTGTTTGTGACAGGATAGTAAACTTATCATCCTTTAAGTTTAGCATGGTAAGCTTATCAGGTGAAATTCATATTGAACATAAACAGACAAATTGTTCGATCTGCATCTTGGTTGGCTATAGACTGATAAATATTGGCATGTACCAATTGGTTTGAGTAGCTTAAACTTTGCTACAAGCCAAATTAAAAGGCATATTTTGTATAATTACCTGTCCTATGACAATAGCATTCCATGTTCTATGTAATAGTGCTTATCAACTTTTCTTAAAAGAATAATTTGGTTCTTTCTATGACAGTCTTTCTTCCTTTTCAGGACTAGCTACTTCAACTCCAAGGGAACTTTGCTTTTGTTCAGGGTCATGATTGGTTTACTTTCTTGATGTTTCAACAATCACTGAACTACATATTGTTGAATCTTGGATTTTGATGATGAAATCAATTGATGAGTTTATGGACTAATAAGCGTTTGAGATAAGTGACGCAGGAGAAACTTCTATCATGGACGTGAACCATCAAAAGACAAATCGTTGAAACAGGAGAATCAAACGTTGGGCCGGAGAGCATCATGCCAAAGATTGGATGTCGGGTCGGAGGATTGGTCGACGTGTCGGAGGATGGACTTCATGCCATAAGTTCGGGTATTGGGCTAGAAGGATCGGGTATTGCACCAAGAAGATCAGATGATGTGGGAGGTCAACATACTGATAGATCGGACAATACGCCAAAGGAAAGAATGATGCATCGAAGGTTTGGACGAAGTGCTAGATGAACAAATGATATGACAGATACTATGTTGAAGGCTTCATGATTGTAATTAGAGTTGTTAAGTCTTGATCGAAGTCGTTTAGAGTCTAATTAAGTTGGTTTTGGGGCGTAACCATGTCAACTTGATTAGGAGCCCATTGGGCTTGAACCAGGGTCGAAATGGGCCTGTTGGAAGACCAATTCAGTGACTTGGGGTTGGGCTGGGGCGGTGGTACCGCCTGAGAGTTGGAAAGCACTATTTGTGCTTTTCCGAGAATCTCGGCGATAGTACCGCCCAGGTAGGCAATGGTACCGCCAGAGCCTAAATTCCCAAGCTCTGTTTGGCGATGGTACCACCCAAGTAATACGTCGAAGGAAGGAACGATGCGTCGGAGGTTTGGATGAAGTGCCGGATGAACAGATGACATGATGGACAACGTGCCGAAGGCTTCATGATTATAATTAGAGTTAAGTCTTGATCGAAGTCGTTTAGAGTCTAATTGAGTTGGTTTTGAGGCGTAACTATGCCACTTGATTAGGAACTCATTGGGCTTGAACCAGGGTTGAAATGGGTTTGTTGGAAGGCCAATTCAGTGACCTGAGATTAGGCTGGGTGGTGGTACCGCCAGGCCCAAGCGATGGTATTGCTTGAGAGCTAGAAAGCACAAATTATGTTTTTTCGAGAATCCCGGCGATAGTACTGCCCAAGCAGGCGATGGTACCGCCAAAGTCTAGATTCCCAAGTTCTGTTCGACGATGGTACCGCCAAAGCCTAGATTCCCAAGCTCTATACGACGGTAGTATCGCCCGGCGTAAGCAGTAGTATCGCCAATATCCCGAAAACTCGTGGATTTGAATTTTTTGCTCTATTTTTTAAACCATTTGGGTCTATAAATACTCCACTCATGCTTGTATGGTGGTTGTCTGAAAACTTATGATTTGAAGTGTGTAAACTCTCCTGAAAAGTGTTGAGTCTCTTCTTCTTTGAGTTTAGAGGTCATACTAAGGAGATGTGGTTTTCTTGTAAAAGAGAGGTGTAAAGGTTCTCTCCTAAGTTTGTGAAAAGGAGAAAGGGTTATAACAAGGGTAGTTGATCTTTGCCCATTGAAAAAAAGATCGGTAGTGAAAGTTGATGACCTCGAGGGAAGAGGAATCGGGAGTAGACATAGGTCAGGATGACCGAACCACTATAAATCTGATTTGTATTTCTCTTTATATTTTTTCTTATTATTATTAATTGATTTAGTTGCTCACTATCCTTATTCTCATTGTAAGTTAAATGCATTTCCGATACATATTTTTTGAGCGAAATTTTTTAAATTAAAATTTTTTTCGAAGGCACTAATTCACCCCCCCCTTCACACTTAGTACCTTTACGATACTAACATATATGTCCCTGGTATATCTTTCTTTCAACTAGTCACTTTGTGATTTAATAGGATTCATTTGCATTCCTGTCAATGAGGATATAACTTATCTTCCTCAAGATAAGCGGCCTGGACCATCCAAAATGAGGTGGTCTACATACTGGTTCATGCCTGGACTGGTGAATACTGGTAGGTATAGACTGGTCCAAGGTGAAATTGAGTTCCATGCCATTATTTAGGATTGAAATTCTGTGATAACAGTATCTAACTTTGTCTGATCAATTTTCCAAAACATTCTGTTGATACTCAAGCCAGTTCACATGAGAACCAATGGCAGTGAGAAGGTTTCAAAGTTAAATCTAAATCCTGGATTTGTATGCTTCCAGGGACATACTTCCATATTAAGAGCCAACGCATGACAGGTTGCATTAACTTCAGACATGCACATTAGCCAGCAAACCTACTGCATCTGCTAATTTACATTTTTCAATTCAATTGTAGCTTATATGCATTCTTTTTTGAGCAGAAGCAGTGTACCTATGGCGTGTTGAAAAACTTAAAGAAGTTAAAAGGGTGACAAGTTCAAAATCAAATTTAAATTCAAGCATCCCTTTTCAGGAAGCAAGTATGCTGCCTCTGTTGGAAGCCTATGAACAGAAATATGATTTAATTTTTTTAAAAATATATGATATATATATATAAATCTAAATTGTATCACCTTTGTTTTGTAGAAATGTTGAAAAGAGCCTTGGCGTCTAATTGGCAAATGTTATTGGAAGCGATTGGTCTATGGTTGCCAGCTGATGTTGTTCACACTGAACACAATGATAAACCTGAAAATGAGCAGGACCTTGGTAACTCTGTTCACCAGTTGGAATCTTCTACAGTCTTATTTCATCTCTACGTTATCTTCAATAGTTTAACCTCATAGGACATTAGTTTTTCTCTGCAAATTTTATGAGCCCATATGTGTCTTGTGCTGTTATAAAGATATGTTGGTTAGGACTCTTGTGCTGTTATAAAGATATGTTGGTTAGGACTTACTCCTATTACATTTACAAGCATCTAACTTGAGGTCTCTTAATGTATCTTTTTGCAGAGGAGATTATTCCTGGTCGACCCCTTCCTCCTGAATGCCATGCAAAGACTCATACTGATTATGATGGAGCTGCTGTGAGATGGGGGCTTACCCACCATCAAGAAAGTGCTGCTGATTGTTGTCAGGCTTGCTTAGATCAGGCCAAAAATGCAAAACCAGGGGAAATGAAGTGCAATATCTGGGTTTACTGCCCATCAGAGTTTGGGTGCTACTCACCAGATATATACAAACACAAACATCAGGAGTGCTGGCTGAAGCAGGTACTACTGAATTCGTTGATGCAATATTGCTTCGTGTACATTGGATCATAATTTGTTGTAGAATTGTAGATTCTTCTTCCTTTTAATGAAATGCAAACTGTCTAACTTATGACATTTTTTTAGTTCAACAAGCAAACGTAAACACAAAATAGAATACAATATTACAATTGACAAGTTTATTGGTGGCATATGGGAGAGAAACATGGAGCAGCCTTTATAGAAGTTTGAGACATATCTGAGCCTATGTTGACTCATAAATTTCCCTGATAATTGGATTCTCTTGTGGCATCATTTACAAAATTAACTATGTCAATTTCCCATCAAGGATAACTGCTTTTACCCGGTTCAAGCAGCATTTACATAATGATCTGAATTTCCTACTGCTCTAATAACGTCTATAGAATGAGAATTAACCACATGTCCCAAAATGTTGAAATCCAAGTTATAAATAATAAGCCACTTGATATCCAATCCATTCATTTCCCATTAAAGAAATGGCTATGAGGATGTCACAATTTTCTCCACTCTTAGAGCTTGACATCCTTCTCAAGGGATAACAATAGCGAGGACCAGGGTTTGATGTGAAATTGAGGAACTTCCCATCATGTGGTGACCCCTTTTTCGACGGATACTTTCCTACATAGGGCCACAGAGCTGATGTGATATTATTTATACTGATTTGTGCTTTCAGATATATGGTCTTTGTCTCTTGTAGTATAAGTCGCTCCTTGCTGGTGGTTAATGATTTGCACACTATCTAGTATCCACATGGCATGCCATATTGCCTAATTATTTGGGTTTTTGTCAGAAACTTCTCATTCTAATTCATGCGGCTTGCAATTGCCTGTAATTCCCTAGCAATCTGTCCGATTGAATGTTCACTGAAGACACCGTGAATCCTAGTTTAGTCAACACAGGTTGATCCATTAATATTTTAATATAATATTTGTAAAAATTCAAGCCTGAACCATGTGAATTCTGTTTTTATAGAGTACTGATAGATTGCTCTTTGAGAAAGGTTATATATTTACCTATTATTGTTCATTTCCGTGTAGCACTAGTTGAGACTATTACAACTTTCTTCTATTTTTTTTTGATGTAATATACATTACTTTGTAAAAGCCTTTGTATTATGTAAAATCCTGGAGAACTTGCTCTCCTTTTTGCTTTTCATTATTTTCCTTGTTTGGGGTAGATGTTTAGCTATGTAATCTAAACCTGATTGGAACTTATGCTCTAACTTCCCATTGTCTTTGGCAAATATCAAATGCTGCACATTTTGTTTTGGAAAATCTTCTTCTTCGCTGAGGGACTCTTAGTTGCTATTCCAGTGAATCCAACCTTAATCTTGAGGTTTAGGATGTTGCTTCTTGTAGCCTGGTTGTTGCAGGTGCCTCTAAGAATAAACCTTGATTTGGTGGAAGGTTCTAAAATGTCTGAATTTAACTGGCATGCTATGGGTTCATGTTTTGCTTAATTGACTTCTTCACTGACATGCAAATCTTCCTTTTTTTTCTCATCCGCAAGCTTTTCATATTGTCAAATGCAGGCTGAAAAACCACGGTTGAACTTCAAAGATGAGTATTCTGAGTCATACAGGAACAATCACCCCAATGCACCCGTGGTCGTGCCATGGATCTCAGGCATTGTGGGAGCATAACCAATGCCATCTCCTTTCTCAATGCCGCAGATTTACTTGAAAAGAAGGAAAAAAAAGAAGAAAAAAGACGGCTCACAGCCATGTTGCCATCTCCTTTCTCAATGCTGCAGATCGGGTGCGGGCGTTCACCATGACATCTAAATGATCTGGCCGTTTGATCCTGTGGCCACCATTTTTCGTTTCAGTTTCAGTTTCACGGGGACACAAAGGTTTCATCTACATATACTTGTATTCTTTATGCCTTGTAAATTTGAGAGAGGCATCGAAATGCTTTGGGAGGATTAATCAGCTTATAATTCATTGTAGGGTGTTTTTGAGTTGCAAAAAGCATATGGATGTACAATAACTATGGCAGTCTCGATGAGAAACCTCAAGGTGGGCCATGTGATGACGTTGAACTTTCATTTACAAGTTTCTTGTAATTGAATTTTACCTTCATCGAGATATTTATGATAGTGATTGAGTTGCATAACATTTGTGAAAGTTGTGTAAGCATTAATGAAGACTGAAGGCCACGTAGCACAAATCTACCGGTTTCATAACAGGACTATCCTTCAGATTCTGACGTCAACCATGGCACGTGGGAAAACAGTTCGTTTTTTTATTTATTTTTCTCGTATTTAAAAATATGGAAGAGAGAATTATAAGTTGTTTTTTATTCCATATCTTAATTTTAATTCTGAATTTCTTTTTAACTTCCAATTGGGTCATCATGAAAGGAATACGTTTTGAATTAGAAATGATGTGGCCTTGGAATTCATTAGCGAAAAGAAGGAAAGTATATATCAGATCTTATCATTTCCGAACTAACCCGAATTATATATATATATATATATATATATATATATATATAATTTTCCATGAAAAGTTCCTATGCGATGCTTATGAGTCAAATAGAATATTATTCAAGAATGTTATCTGAATCCAAACATTTAGATGTTTGAAGTCAAACTTGATTCCAGAATTTATTTTTCTATGCCAAATCATTCTAAACCTAATTTGTATGAACGAGACTGATGGAGGTGTCTAAAAAAATCAACCAATGTCATTTTCATTTAACAATAAAACAATATTTTACTATTATTCACAATCCTTTTTAAAAATTAATAAAACAATATTTTACTATTTATCATCCATATAATTTTAATTTTATCCTTTTTTTTTTTCCTTCTCCATGACCCCTACGATCATTGCTTGTACACCTTGTCATCATTGACATTCTCTAGTGCTCCCTATCATCGATCATCACTCTTTAGCTCATGCCTATCGTCCATCACCACCTCTAAGCATGCCCCACTTTGTCGATCGTTGCTCCTTGACCTATGCTTCTTATCATCAATTATCACCCTCCAATTTGTGCTCCCTCTGTCCCCATTCTAACTACACTTGTTGTCCACCCTCAACATTATATTTATGTACATTTATAAAAGGAGGAAAGGTATTTATGTACATTTATAAAAGGATAATTTTAAAATATTAAAATTTTCTAAAATAAGATTGTAAATAGTAATCTCTTTTTCCAAAAAATAATGTTTTACTTACTTATTCAAATTATATTTAAAAAAAAGATATCATCAAAGGAAAGTTAAAAGTATTACACCCCATAAATTGGAGCTCCAAGCTTCTCTTCACTCCTGAATTCTCCAGCCTTTATATTAGGTTCTCTAAGAATAAAAAAGAACTTGACAATTGGGAGAAGTAGAACAAACTCCCTAATGTCCAATATAATAGGTATAAATAAAAAACCAAGGACCTCCATTGTTCCTTTGACAAATCTGATGAGGTTCAGAGCATTGGTTTTGACCAAAACATTATTATGTCTCTCTTGCCTTGCTCTCTTCAATCCTTTCAGCAAAGCAAGAGCTTTAGTGAGCATCGGATTGGATGCATCACAAGGTTGACAATCAGCAACTAGTAAGCTCTCATCACTGTCCTCGAAGACAAAGTCGATTTTTGCCAAAGAATTCTAATCGCTGAATGAGCTATCGGCTTTCTGCCTGATGTGTTAGTCTCTCCGGTGTAAGCCAATACAATACATTCATTATAACTGAGGAAAAGAGATTAGAACGATAGTTGTAAAACTTAACATCATTCCTATTAAGCCACAATATCCATAAATCTAATTGTCCTTAGATTTACTCAGATTATTACATTCCTCAATCCAAGCATCCTGTGACCAAAATTAAAAAAATCTAAATAAAATCTTAAGTGTAATTTGAAGCAATTGCTAAAAACAGAGTACAGAGGAACATTCAAATAGAAAATATTTTGCAAAATCAATGCCAATACCACAAACCGGACAGTGATCAGTTCGTCCATGTAAAACATAAGCCAAAAAAAAGATGAAGTTGGCAATCTATTCCAGTACAATTTTCACACTTTACCTTATGAGAAATATTAAGATGACATACTACCTTCCAACCAGTCCAATCTTCTTCCTTCAAAAGGAGTAAGCTATATATATATATATATATACATATATATATATGTATATATATATATGTATATAAATATATATATGTATATATTTATATATATATATATGTATATATATATATATATATATATACATATATATATATATATATATATATATATGTATATATATATATATATA